CGCCGCCGCCGTGGCCTGGCCTCTCCATCGCAGCGGCACCCGCAGCTGGCTGCAGCTCCTCAGCACTGCGGAGAGACACAGCCCTGTCAGTGCTGATCCCCCTGGGAGCACACAAACCCCCAGCCCTGTCAGTGCTGATCCCCAGGGAGCACACAAACCCCCAGCCCTGTCAGTGCTGATCCCCCAGGGAGCACACAAACCCCCAGCACGGGCAGTGCTGACCCCCTGGCACAGCACACAAACCCCCAGCCCTGTCAGTGCTGATCCCCTGGCACAGCACACAAACCCCCCAGCACTTCAAAACCCAAAGCAAAGCCTTGCTCATCTGTGAGTTCCAATCATAACTCCAAAACACCCAGTGGAAACAAGGGGCTGACCCTGAGGAAGAAGCGTCAGACTGTGTCACTCCTCCTGTGGGTCAGACACACCTGGGCTAATCCCAGACAGGACAGGATTTCCACACCGTGTCTACAATGCAGGTTAGACATCTGCTCCTGTTTGGATGCTGAGCAGCAACTCCAGACTCCATGTACAAGTCTGCACACATCCCCCTCCCTCTCCAGCTCCCTGGGGCCCCTTTAGCCACTGGAAAGGGCTCGGAGGTCTCCCTGGATCCTTCTTTTCTCCAGGCTAAACACCCCCAGCTCCCCCAGGCTGGCTCCAGAGCAGAGGGGCTCCGGCCCTAGAGCATCTCCATGGCTTTCTCTGGACTCACTCCAGCATCTCCTTATTCAGCCCTGAAGCTAAACACAACTAGATTATCCTTAAGGCTCCTTCCAACCCATATTCCATACAGCTCCCTACAATTCCATGCTGGTTACAGCCTGCCTTTTCAAAGGCACACTTCGTTCTCCTCGGGAGTTCATCGTCATTACACGGTATTCTTTTAGCACACAAATAGTGTGAATTGCTCACGGTGAAAAAAAAAATAAGGTTAAATTCTGCATCCCCGTCTCTCCGGCAATTGTTCAGTGCGACATTTCCCCTGTCAGACCACGGGAGCTCGGCAGCAATTCAGCCCCAACAGCACAGAGCTCCTCAGCAGCCGACCCACCCGCTGGGAAGAGCATCTTACAGCTCACAGCTCTCTAATAACCTCCTGAACAGATGCTGAACGGCCTCAAAACCTGCTGAAATCAATGGCAACAAAACGCATCCTGCAAATCCAGCCTCTTACTCGGGATCACGAGTGCCTAGCCGTGGATGCCTGCATCTGCACTGATACAAAAGGCTGCATTCTAAAGAATTTCAAGCATCGCTGATGCCTGGAAGGTCCTTTTCCAATAATCATTTTTTACTTCCAGTTCTGGGGTTATTGCTTTCTGAGGCGCTGGCACTATATGCCAGTTATAGAGAACAATAAAAAGGGAAGTTTCAATGGCTGCATTGATACTTCTGCACTGTAAGAACTCTTGTTCCTGGCCCAGAGGGTGGCTGGGCACCGACCAGGCTCCCCAGGGAACGGTCAGCGCCCCGAGGCTGCCAGAGCTCCAGGAGCGCTTGGATAACGCTCTCAGGCACAGGGTGGCATTGCTGGGTGCCCTGTGCAGGGCCAGGAGCTGAATCAATGACCAGGAGTCCCTGCCGACCCAGGACACCCTGCAAGTGTCTGACTTAGGCTGAGGTTAAGGCACGTTTCCACCTGCATCATGAAGCACACAGCGCAGAGACGTGCAACGAGTACGATCCCAGCTTGATGGAGCATCGATAAAAGCGCTCTTTCACAGGTTTTAAAAGCGGCACTAAGGTATCAAAGTCTAAAGCGAGCAGCGGGGTGGGTAAGCCCAAAGTGCCTCCGGGCAGGGACACAGCGAGCGCTGCGGGGCC